CTTTTCGACCTCACCAGTATATCCAGGACCAGTGCATAATCGGTCAAGTTTGATATGCTTAGAAATTCCAAAGGAAAATACATTTGTTCTATAGATTATATCCGCATACTTGCACCTTTTCGGGGAAGACTCACTATATGAACTAAAATTCATTTAAGTAATGACTTCCCCTTGATTTTGTGCGACATTCTAAAATTTAACAGTTTTGATACATTTTATTTTACAAATATATGGCAGGATATTTATTTTAAACTACTGCAGTTTAATATTAAGAATATCATCTATTTGCTTGAGGTAATATTCAGAGAATGACTTTCAATATCAAGATTTACATCCCTCTGATTGGGTTAACCTCAAAAGACTGGCATTCAATATCACAAGTTACTTCCCTTTGATTGGGTATATTAATAACAAGTTACTTCCCTTTGATTGTTTAGCTTATTGGTTACTTAAGACAACTACTCAATTTATATACTATCCCTTTGCCCCCTTAGCGCCTTTTGCAATCAGGTGAGGTAACTCTCATTCAACTGTTATAGGAGATGTTTTTCAATGATGCTTTATATCCTTACTTTTCTGATATTTGGTCACAATATTGTGCAAAAAGGAAAGGAAATACCGAATGGTGTTTTATTTTTGATGTTTAGGTAAACATAAACAATAAATCTCATCAAGTATAAAACTTACACATCATGTTTTATCATATTCATAAATGCATCATTCTTAGCATATATATTATGTTTATATAATATTTATCATACACATGTTTATTGTATTCATATTTATTTAATGCATTATGTTTATCATATACATGAAAAGGTCAAGATATGTTATGATTAAAGAAAAATAGGTAATAAATATGTCAAGATAGATTATGAGTTAAGTCAAGAATGTTTCTTTTTTATGCTGTGCAAATATCAATGTTATTGCCCTATCAGTTCGGTAATGGAAAAGTGTGAAGGGTATTAAAATGTTGTTTGAACAACTTTCTTTTGTGTCTAGTTTATAGCTCATTGTAAATAGTACTCTAAATCTGAAATGAAAGGCCATTTATTCTTCAAATAAAATGTCTTCAGTTTGTTTTATTGCATTTTTACCATTCTTTATATTTTTTATAAGCTTTGTAAAATAGAGAGAAATAATAATCCCTAAAGAAAGCACAACACGTCAAAATTGAAAATGTTGCAGGCTCGGTTTGATTGAGCCTGTTCATGGACGGTACTGTCAAGTGCAAACAACCGTCCACGCCCCCTAGCATCGGCTTAAGAAGAATTCAACATTTAACATGAACTGGTAACATTTAGAATTTTGAAACATCCGCAGATTTGTTCATATGGCGGTTATCATGGAATCTTCAATGCGACACGTTAGTGCTATTCCATGTAAAGCGGCATATGGTCCCCAAGTAAAAAAAAATGCATGTGCCCTAAACGAGAAAACAATGGGCCGAACTAAATAAAATGGAATTTTGGAAGGTAAGTCTAGTAGTGTATGTTGGAAGTTTTCAACAAAATATTGAATTGGTCTGAATGTTAAACGTTTTTATATGACAGTATAATAAATTAAATATTAATTTCACCATAATATAATAAACTTGATTGATTTGTTAAACATGTGTAACATCATAAACGTAATATGTAAATGATAAACATGATGTGTATGATAAAGATAGTAAACATAATAATGTTTCTTGACATATTCATATTCTATCTTGACTTATTCATAACCTATCTCTACTTATTCATAATCTATCTTGACATATTTATAACCTTTATAGACTTGTACATAATCATTAACAATCTAATTAAACATTTGAGCTTTATTAAAGTAATTCAGACAATACTGGGTTTTCTGTGATATTTTTTATACTAAAAATACTTTAAAATAAATGTTTAATAGTGATCTCAAATTATATGATTGTGTACTGGAAATTAAGTAAAGGCTAAGTTTGAGAAAGTATACACAAATTACAATATATTACAAAAAGAAGAGAACGTTACATTTCTCATTTTTTCATGTAATAAATATTACATGACAAAAATGAGTCAAAACATGTTGCAAAGTTAAATAGGGTATATATACTTTGACATGCGTTTATAATCTTGAGACCATTTAGTAGTTTTTGTTAACATTGCTTTTTATAAATCCATTAACAATAACATAATAAAGCAAATAGATACGAGTTAACTACCGATTCTACTACACACATTTTTAACAAGTATGATAAGTATGTCAGTAGATAGCTCTATACTTCCTAATTTGACCCTTTTAAACACAACTTGCTAGGCAGTATTCTTAAGTGAAATTATATATATAATTATAGTATTATGCTTATAAAACATTTTTCAAACATCGAAGAATATGTTAAATATTTACTGCAAATATATGTACATATTATATGTAATCCTTAATATTTATGCATTCATTTTTTATTGAACAATTTGACTTAGACTTTATAGAAAATAATTTTTTATTACCTCCCTTCATTTACATGAAATGTTAAATTCGACAATATCTTTATAAATAATGCTTTTTGGAGCTTACAAAATTGATAAATCTTAATTTGAGCATCATTTTTATGATATAAAGCCATAAACAATTATGTTACAGGACATTTAAATACATAATCATTTATTAAAAAAGGGTTTTTTTTTAAAATAAAAAAAATGTTTCTATTTTCAGTTAAATCTCCAATATTCAATAATAAAATAGTATAGTAATGGAAAGATTTCAAAATGTAGTCAATTATAACAATACAATTTAGAGTGGTAATTGATGAAATAAAGGTTATATACAGGGGCGTAACTGAGCTTTTTGATATGCACTTATTAACTAGGAGGGTTCGGGGGCATGCAACCCCGAGAAAATTTTTGAAAAAGGAAGCGATATATTGGCATTTCGTGACTATCTAGAGGCTATATTGACAACATATTGGTGATGATTTCAAGCTCTTTTTATTAATTTTAAAATATGTAAAATGAACAAGTACGTTATATATCTACCATAAAACTTTTTTATATTTATATTTGATTTTTTTTGCAGGACATATTTGTTATTTTGCGTCCTTCAAACTGATATTTAGCAACAAAAAGGAAAAAAAACAAAAACAAAAAAACAAAAAAACAGAAAGAAACAAAAAACAAACGCCAGACGTCTGTTTCGTTGGTATGCAAAGTTGTCTAATCGGCAATTAGTACCAAGAAGACATCCAACCAAAACCAAAATAGGACGCAAAAGGGCCAATATGGGAAATAATCATCATTGTGTGATCAAATTATATTTTTTTATTGAACTGGTAAAATTATCCTTACATCACAATCATAAACAAACTGGTCCTTCCAAGTCTTGATGTCCAGCATATAGAATGTTTTCTCTATTTTATGACATGTACAAACTAATATGCATTTTCCGAAAAGTTAAAACATAACATTTTGATATTTGATTTGGTGCCCTATCTGAAATTATACATCGCTCACTCATCGGAGTTACCTGGATAGAACTATCTATTTTAACAGTTAAAGATATACTTAACAGGTATTTTGATAAAACTATGCAGACATTCATGAAATCAAGTAAATTCCAAAACAATTTGTCTCATTTGAATTAGAGAATATACTACAAACTTTTAAGTAAGCTGCATTCCCTATTACAGGTTAAATAAATTTGGTATTTTCTTAAACCAAGATCTGACCAATTAGTAGAGTGCTCCATTTTCTCTCAGTGCAGGATACTATGATAGAAGCAAAGTAGGAAAAGGACATAAGGGCACAAAATAACCATGAACTACTTTCCGGTGTCAAACCTTTATTTACCATAATTTGAATAATCAAAATTATAACCTCGGTTTTGTTCCATTCTAAATCGTTTTTATAATAGTCTGGTTACATGTCATTAATTTTGACCTTTCACATTAAACTATTTTGACTTGTTTATATTAAACTATCTATACTTATTCATATAAATCAATCTTAACTTATTCATATTTATCTACCTTAACTTATTCATATTAAACCATTTAAACTTATTCATATTAAACTATCTTTACTTATTCATATAAATATATCTTGACTTATTCATATTAATCTACCTTGAATTACTCTTATTAATCTATATTGACATATTCATATTACTCTATCTTGACTTATTTTTATTAATTTACATGGACTTATTCATATCAATTTATCTTGACTTATTCATATTTATCAATCTTGACTTATTCATATTTATCAATCTTGACTTATTCATAATAATTTATCTTGTCTCATTCATATTTTTATATCTTGATTTAATCATGTTACCATACTTTGACATTCATATTAATCTTTGACATCATTCATATTAATCTATCTTGACTTATTCATATTAATTCATCTTGACTTATTCATAATCTATCTTGACTTATTTAATGATTAATTAATCATTAACGATCATGCATACCCGCATGAAAACATAATAGGATATAATCTAATTAGCATTTGAGTTTTATTAAAAAGTTCTTCATCAAATACTGTGTTTTCTATTATAATTATATATTATATAATTATAATAGATTTCTGTTAATTAAAAGTTTAACAATTGCAAATTTTAACATTGTTTTAAAGGAATGAGAATAAAACACGTATTTACAAAAAAATAAGAACATTACTAGATATCGTGTTTAAATTCAACTTATTGTCTCTTTTGAAAACATTTTATGTAATCTCTGTGCTCCATATCTTGAAATGTTGAATTGTATTGTGCATTATGCATTGTATTTACATGCTTTGCGCAATAAACTTTTAATTTGAATTGAAAAATACATGGAAAATGGTCAATTTTTTTTATCGTAACAACTGCTATTTATAAATCCAATATCAATATGTATCACAATAGATACCAGTTATAACTACCTTCTATACAAGCATATTATTTAAGAATAATATAATAAACCTGTCGCTGGATTGATCAATACTCCCTAATTTTAAACACAACTAGATAGACGGTAATGCGTAGTTGTTCATGTTTTAAATTTAAAAAAATAATCCAGGCACATTCCAGTATGGACTTCAGTGCTTCATTTACGCAGGACTCTGATGAAGTTCAGGAACTGTTTTGTGAACATTGTGATAAACAGGACAAGCAATACGTTCCTGCTGAGGGATTTTGTGAGGAATGTTTCGTGTACTTGTGTGGTATATGTCTGAAGTTCCATAAAAGATATATGCTCTCCCATAGTATCAAAGATAAGGATAATATGCCACAGGATTTCTGTCAAGAGAAATGTTCTGTTCATCAAGATGAATTAGTCAAGTTCTTTTGTCAAACTTGCAAAATATTTGCCTGTACTGAATGCAAGACTCAAAACCATGGGAGCTGTATAACGGTCAGTCATATTCCAGCTCTCGTTCCCGGGATTGAAAACAGTCAAGAGATCAAAGAACTTAATGAAAATCTTGATGAGTTAATGGAAGATTTGGAAAATACAGACGAACACATGAACATAAGCATGGAGGAGGTTGCTTCACAAGAAACAATGATATTAGGTACAGTTATGAAAAAGAAAACAGAAATACTGTTAGCGTTTGTAAAACATAAGGAAGAAGTAATTCAACACTTAGGAAAGAGAATAGAAGAAACAGTAAAAATACTTAAACAAGAGAAAAAAGAGAAAATTGAAAAATTAAGTGAAAATCAAAGGAAATTAGAAAAGTTATTAAATGATGAGGAAAATGAAATAAAGAAGAAAATTGAAATCATAAAAAAGAACGATGAGAAGATTTTGAAAACAATTGCTGAAGAAACATTAAAAATGAGAACAAAACTAAACACCATATCAGCAGAGTTGGTTAATCATCAAAAAAGAGATCGAAGATGTCAACTGTTTGTTGCTATGAAGAAGGGAGAAGAAATCATTGAACAATTAAAACCAGATGCAGATAAACTAAGTAAAAACATTTCAATTCATTATTACAAGGTTGAATGCACCGCTTCTGTACAGAATATAACAGATTTACAACACTGTGATAAATTTTTCACTTTTCAAGAAATACATGAGTCTGAAGTACAAAGAACTGCAAGGTATAACACAGATATTAAAGGCACATTTGACTCCTGGTCATCTTTATGCTTATTATCAGAAAACTGTCTTCTGATAAGTAACTATAAATCTTCAAACCTTGCTATATTCAAGGATATGTCAGTCAACACTTCATCATATGATACAATAGACCTGTCTTTTAACCCTTGGGCTGTTGCTAAAGTTGACAATTACAAAGCTGTTGTCACATTTCCTAAATTTGGATTAATAAGACTGATAACATTCTCTAAGTGCATGACAGTGACCAACACTGAAGATATAAAAGTAGGAGAGCTGTGCTGTGGTGTTGCCTATAGTAACAACAAGCTTTTAGTATCTTACATAACCAATCCATCTGCAGTGAAGATACTTGACATGTCTGGTAAAGTACTGAAAATATTTGATAGAGATCATCATGGGAAATGTCTGTTTGTTCATCCTCATTACATAACAATCAGCGCAGACAGCATGATTATATATGTATCTGACTTTAAGGAAAACTGTGTATTAGGTTTAACTTTTGATGGGGATGTAAAGGCCATTTACAATGATGGTCAGCTGGAAAGTCCATATCAGCTGACTGTAGATCAGTATGGAAAAGTGTTTGTATGCGGAGTTCAGTCACACAATATACATCAATTATCACCTGACCTGACCATGGCGAAGATACTGCTGGGTATAGACCAAGGAATAATGTGTCCATCAGGTTTGGCATACTGCCGGAATAAAAACAGATTGAATTTGAGTCAATGTGCTGATAACATTAAAGTGTATGATTTAATAATGGGATACATGTAAAACATTTCTTATCATTTCAGATCTGCATTGCATGATTTTTTTTATCTGGAATAATTCTGAAAAATATTTATCACAATTTATTGATATACTTAATAATTGTCATGACAATATAAAATTTACATATTGTTTTTCTAAAGAAACAATACCATTTTTAGATTTTAACATTGTAAAAGGGTAATAATGGCACTCTGCATGGTAGTGTTCATGAAATAGATACTTACAGTTTTCAGTATATAGATCTTTCATCATGTCACCCTATTTCTTGCAACTGGGTATTCCGTTTAGTCAAGCTTGACGCTATAGGCCAGAACTTCAGTTGACGAAGGTTTTTAGAACGGAATTGGTCAAAAAACAGTGATTATTTTGAAGCCCGTAATTATCCTGCAAATATTCAAATGAAACATTTAAAAAGGCGGTTTCTTTAACAATGCAAGGGGCTCTTTCAACTTATGAAAAATAGGAATACAGTAATTCCATTTGTGAGGACCGACAATCCATCCTTGCCTAATATTGGTAAAATATTAAACCAATACTGGAATTTTTATAACTATTCTGAACATGAGAGTGCTAGTTAACTGCATACTTATAAACCTATCATTGCATATACACGACCAAAGAATATTCAAGATATATTAATTACTTCACTTTAAACTGAAGAGTGTACCTCAAATTTGCAGAGTATCAAAATGTAACGTCGCTGTACCCATTTTTTAAAAGTCGATAAATCTAATTCATTTACAAGTACTAGCAACTCATCTGAATGTCATGTTATTCAGGTGATGTTATATACATGATTACATGTAAAAATGTTTAAAACAATATGTTAGACAACTAGTCAAAAATGTTCCCAACGAATGAATAGTCACATATTTGATATTAACTATTGTCCTGAAACAACTACAAGCGTTCATGGACTAAAAGAAAAGATGTACTAGCCATACAGGCGACCAAGGCTGTAAATGTTATTTCTTACCAGAAACATTTTGGTTATTTTAAAGTTAATGATGCTTTCAAACTATTCTATGCTATGGTTAAACCCATTTTGACATACTCATCAGAGATTTGAGGATATAACACATGTCGACAGATCGAAAATGTGCATATATCATTTTGCAAAAGGATAGCATGTTTAAATCAAAACGTTGCAAGTTTCTCCGCCCTTAGTGAATGCTGACGCCTTCCAATTAGTGTAACATACATGTCTGAATGTGTAAAGCACTGGCTTAAATTAACGGAAATGCCACAGTATTTAGGACCCGAGTCTCAGACTACTGTAGACAAGCGATAATGTCTGACATTAATTCATCGCCAAAAGCGATCATTTACAGAATTCATAAAATGTCTATTTCTGACGAATGTTATTTTTACTGAGTATGCCTTATGCATATAAACGCACATTAGCAAATTTTAGATGCAGTGGCCATGACTTGAAAATTGAAACAGGAAGGCACTTGAATATTGACAGAGTTTAAATTTTGTTCATTTTGTCTTAAACGTAATGTGTATGTTGTGGAATATGAAGTTCATTTTTGATTGACAGCTGTACAACGACCTTAGACACAAACACTTAAAACGTTTGTAATTGGAATGTGATTGTAAACAGTAATCGACGCTTTAATACTATATAATGTCAGACAAAACGAAAGACAATATTAAAAATTGGCAAAATTTATCTATGAAGCAAATAATTTAAGAAAACTTAAGAAAATAACTGAACAAATTTAAACACGTATATTGTAATGTTTTTAATTAATATTTATGTGCTATGAATTTCAGTTACTCCATTTGTTAAACCTTTATGTTTAAATAACGTATCTAAATTAAAAGTTACATCTTAAACACTGATATCAATAATCATATTGGCATTTGTACATTATATGTTTTATTAAAACTGCATTTATTTCAACTTAAATATTCAATATTACCATTATACTAATTAGCTGTAAATATACTCATATGTCTACTATATATACATGTATATATTTATATCTCACTCTATGTTAAATTGAAAATCTGATTGTATTTTGGACTGAAGGCCTTATATTACGAATAAACGCATTGTCATTGTTCTGAACTTTTTAATAACCTAGGACATAATATCCAGGATTTCTGTTTTAATCGTTTTGAAATAGACGCATCATTGCTGCGGAATAACACGATTTAATATGCAAGTCGTCAATAAAAATGCAGGTACATAAAACATTTATATACATCTGCTTTACATTTAAGGACAATTTTAAATTTCTTGCTTTCTTGCAAAACATTTTTATTTACATTTTCTTCAAATGGAAAGACAATGATTTTTTTATCTCCTTTAAAATAAAAGATTTTTCAACTGTCTGGGTTTCCCGAATTTAAATGGAACCGGGCTAAAAAAAATCAGCTAAACTTTCTTACCAAAGAAACTGATTTGCTTTTACAGACCATCTGTGGGACCCACTGCTTCGTTGACTGTTAAAAAATCTGATTTCTTTTCAAATTTGTTTTGAAGAAATGTATCTTTAATTATAAATATCTTGTTATGTTTATTTCTTTTGAGACGATTTGAAAAGTACTGTGAAGACATAGTTCTGGCTTAAAAAATCTACGATAGCCGCCTTTTATATAGTAAAGCGAGATAACACATGCGCTTTTTATTTTGGTCAGGTTTGGTATCGGGTATGATGCCTTTAATGTCTTATATTATATTTTCATGCTCAGATTTGATGTTTTATTGTTGTTCATAAATTTTGCTTATTTAAGTTTATGAAATCGGGATACAAATTTTCATACGTTTTTTCAAAGTTACGTTCATGAAATTGGGATAAACCATAACCAGCTTCAAATCACAGTATATTATAAATAAGACACATGGTGCCGAATTCCTAAACAATTCCAATGACTTAACCGTCCTGTAACAGTATAAACCGAGTACTATATAAAAACGGACGTAACGCCTCCTCTTCAAATTAAACAACTGCGCAGGTCTAAACAGATATTCATGCAGGTAGCATTTTATTCGGTTCTGTTAAAGGTATGCAGTGCACAGCTTACTATTAATTCGCAGCCATTTTACGCGTAAGTAAACTTCGCTTAATATGCATATTGTTATGGAAAAGACTTTTTTTTAAGAGACTTCCTGGATATAACATTTGGATACATTATCACAAAATCGAATGAATTCCAAAGTTCTGTTGAAATATCTTTCTCTATATAGCTGTCAATTACTAGAACTATTTTATATTTTATATATCTTATATTATTCTTAGTCAGTTTTACTCGTGTCATACTTAATATTAGCACTTTAACTGTTTGCTTACTACTATAACGCATCATACATCCTGTCTATGATTATTATGCCAAACTTTTGTCACGGTTTTTTATTATTTTTATTTGTTTTCTTATAGAAGTCTATATTAATCCAGTCACCAGTATTCTAATAGTGAAGAATTATGAACCTTGCCACATATGATGTGAGTGATGATAAGAAACCTATATTTATAAGTTTGAAGTAGATACACTAAGAAATAAATATGTTATAACATTTTTCATGAAAAATCTAAGTTCAAGGGGGTTAATTTCTGGTAATTTTGGTGCTAGAGTTGTGAACCTTGTCACATATGATTTGGTTGATGATCAGAGACATATTTTTAAGTTTTATGATATATCTTTAGAAATAAAGAAGTCATAGTGAAAAATATTTTACTGCGTAAATACTTTAATCAAAATCTGGACACAATCGCTGGCGCCGGGTGAGAAGGACAGCTCTCCATCGTATACTCCCTTTAGTTGAGTTTTAAATGATGTGCATAATCTCCATACTGTCATCTATCCATATTTCAAGTTTCATTTAAATATTTTCAGTAGGTTTTTAAGTTATCACAAAAATATTGTTACATTTTAAATCTATTTGTTTATTTGTTGCCATAGCACCCTAATATTTTTACACAGATGAATAATCTCCAGACTGCCATTTACCCATATTTCAAGTTTCATAAAATATGTTTTCTACTTTTTACGCTATCATGGGATCCAAATTTTCTGGACTTACGGACAGACTGACGAAAGGTTAACCTAAAGTCTGACGAATTGACTGACGGACAAAAGGACGGACGGACAGACGGAGAGAGGTTAAAATTAAAGTCCCCTCTGGTTAAACTGGTAGGGGACTAGCAAGCGTCCAAAGGGTCATGGCCAATTTTGATATGAGGAAGCCCAAACCTGCATTCTGTCATTCGTCTCATTGTAAGAATAGTATTTCTGCCTGCTAGTTACCTTTTAATCCTCCAAAAGATAAGAAAGGATATGAAATTTGGAAATTAATACATATGAACTATGTGTGACCTTGACCCAGGAATCTTATAATTATACTCATATATATAATGTACATTGTCCCATTATGGATATAATTTATGCCAAGTAGTCTCAATTTTCGTCCATCGGTTCAAAATATACAGAACGAACACCAAAATTACAACAGACAGACTGTTGGAAAGTCTAACCAGCTCTCCTTACTGTTCCATTCAGCCACATAATAATAACGGAAAATAGCAACATTAATGCTCACGGAGTGAATGACATCAAAATATATGTACAGTTACTTATAATTCCTGTTGCCACGTAAGTATTATCTCGTAAGTGCTTCCAGGTGCATAAGATATATGCCAAATTTCTGGCGCATTGAATAGAAAAAATATTTTAACAAACATGAATTATCATTCAATGAATACGTGTCGCCTGATGAAAGCAAATTAAGCAGTTGTATTAAGCGGTTATTAGACAGTTTGTTCCCTATATGTCGCATCTTCTTTGTAGCATGTAGCATGTTACAGTATCTGTATAACAAGCTAAACAAAAATCACGACCAGGCCGAAATGGTCTTTTTAAGGGTCATAATTCAGCCAAAATCATTCAACTGGAAATTTAAATAATATAAACTTGAATTAAATAATATTATGTCCAAGTTCTTGAGGTACCAATCAACCCTTTAAATTTTAATCAAAATTAATACATAATTACATAAAGTAGTATCATAAAGTAGTATAAAACAAGCAGTCTAGACAAACTTTAAAAATTAGAAATAAAGAATCATGAGGAAAATCATTGAACTATAAAGTTTTGTAACGAACAGACAGCTGGATAGACAGATGACAGAGGATTGATCCCTATAAGTCTTGGCTACTTTGTTGCATGTAGCAGCTACTGGTTAGCAACACAAAAATCATATACAGGCAAAAACGATTTCTTTTTAAAGGGTCATAACTCATATTCATTCAAATTGTGTAACACGTATAAAGGAAGTAGTCCAGACAAACTGTAGAAATTAAAATTATGAAAGGGACAAAAATCTGACAATAATTATTGAACTGTAAAATGCAGACGTTATGCTAACTAGACTTGGTACTAGGATAATTCATGTAACGTTCGGATGTAACTCCACCAGGAGTTTTTTAGGAGTAGTCCGGACAAGTTTAATGCCAGACAGACGTTCTAACAAGACAGTATTTATGTGGCTACTCTATTGCTTTCTGTAGTGTATATTTTAGTCACATAAAGGAAAATACCAACATAAAAGCCTTGCAGAATGAATGATATGTAAGAGAAAGTATACC